ATATAAATCTGTGTCAGACTGAAATTTGAAACTCTGTAAAATGTTTTATTTATGTATTTATAGATTAATAATTTCTAATCAAATCTGAAGTTTTCATCTGTAAAACCTGCTCAGAGTCTGGATCAGATGATTTTTATTTGTCTCTGTTTGGGTTTGGATTGAACTACGTAAGTGAACTCACTCTCACTGTGGGGTTGGTGCTGGGCTCCTGTGCCCGGTCCTCCCTCAGGATCAGATGGACACGTGAGTCCACGTCACGAGAGCGTGCCAGGAGCASGATCACCGTGCTCACCATCAGCACCAGGAGCCCAACCATGTCTGCAGGGCACGAGCTTGATCAGTCCCAGGTTCTGACCCAGATTCTCTGCTGAAACATTCAAATGTGTTTTCATTTAAAACTTTTATCTGAGATAAAATAAAATAAAATAAAATAAAATAAAATAAAATAAAATACATCCACCAGGTTTAGATTTTATCAGAATAAAAACAGGAAAGAAACGAACAAAAATAAATTCTCAACCTGCTGCTGCTGGGAGAGGGATGAAAGTATCTGGTCCTGTTCCTGGTTCTGGTTCTGGTCCTGTTCCTGGTTCTGGTCCTGGTTCTGGTTCTGGTTCTGGTCCGGTCTTGTGTTAAATAAGCCAGCTGATGGTCCGGTCTCTGCAGGAGGACAGGTGACAGAAACTCAGACCTGATCTGTTTTATAGGACTCTGAGCAGGCCCCGCCCACTCCCAGTAGGTCCCACCAGAACTGTGAGCAGAAACTGGGCTCAGTTTGGGTCTCATGTGGGTCGCACCAGAACCAGGCTGCTCTCAGACTGYGRGTTGAGGATAACTCTCYGCTASTACCAGTAAAAACAAATCTGAATCATTCACTGTTGTTTGATTGGCTCCGGCGGCCATCTTGGACAAGGCAGGGATGACATCTGTGTTTGTTCAGGAGATATTTTGCTAACAGAGGAGCATCAACAGGAGCAGCTTCCACTTTTGTTGGCAGGTGAGTAAAGCTGTGAACCTCCTCATCCACCCACCTCCTCACCTGAGGAGAACCTGACCTTTGACCTTTGACAGAAACATTTGACCTTTCCACAGACGACCTGCGGCTGTTGGACAGCTGAGGTCACAGACGACAGATAAGATGATGGAAAAACCACACGGTTGTTCTTCAGCCGGTCACAGGTACACCTGTCCACAGGTTCAGGCCTGTGTGTGTGTGTGTGTGTGTGCGTGCGTGCGTGCGTGCGTGCG